TTATTAAACTTTTTTCCCCAATATCTTTAAGTTGGACCGCCTTGTCATTTGTTTGAAGACTCGACTTGATCATATTCAGTTTGACATAGATCATGCCTATTTGATGAATCACTAGCTCCACCACTATTGCCACTTTTCGATTTTCCTTTTCCTTTCTTGTTCCAACCACTTGCACCTTTATTCTTGTAGTTGGTTTGAGCCAACAAGATTTGTTATTAAATCATTTTACATTCTTTCCCTCATTTAGTCTCTATTCCTAATGTGACACCCTCTACCCCAACATTAATACACAAAATACTAAGGCAAAATATAACAAATCAATCATATTATTAAGTCTAATTTTAAGTTAAGTAAAAAGCTTGTATCATTACCTATACAGAGAATAATTAGAAGAATAATGACCATCCAATCAGAAAATATTACACTTAAAATAACTCCTATGCTGATTCCAAGCATTAGCATAGGTTGGATAAGTAGCATCAAATCATAATCAATAACAGGTTGATCAAGTGTTGGATGCTTTCGCTTCAAGCAGAATAATACAGTTGAGATAGCTGAACCTGTGACCATACCTGAAATAACCATAGAAAATGGCAAAACACTTGAAACCATTTTAGTAATATACTAGTTTATAAACAAGTAGTTTCTTCCCAAGAAATCCAATAATTGGCAACATCAGTATAAATTCTGAACAGATAAATGCTTACACTTTGAAATAACAATTGCTGATTTTGGATCAAACCCAATAATGAGGATTAGCATTGGCACAAAGATGCCACCACCACTGATACAACCCATGCAAAAAGGGATGTACCCACACGTGTACGAAGAGCACCCAGCTGGATAAAAGATTTTGTTACTTAATATTTATCAGATAAGACTGTTATCATTAATTTATCCTTTTATCAATTAAGTAGTTGCAGTAGATATGATTAGATTTTGTTATCATTAATTATTTCTTTTTGTTTATTAGGTGGGCCAAGTAGCAGGAGGACCTGGCCAAGAAGCAAGAGGACCTGGCCAAGATGAGGGGCCGACTTCAACCCTGGAAGGATGCGAATAAGATCCTGAGGTAGGAGAACAAGGCTCTTAGTGTTGTCGTTGGTGAGGCGAAGCGGCAGGAGGCCGAGCTTCGATCTGCGTAGGGCGACCTTGCAAGGGTGCAGAAGTCTCTTGAGATTGCCTCGCGATCCAATGAGGCTTATGCATCCTAGGTGGGGCAGCTGCAGGAGCTCGTCGCCTTCTCTCGGGGTCGCGCCCGCTCTTTGGAGGATAAGGTGACGTCTTCTCGTAGCCAAGTGCGGGCTCTGGAGGATGCTGTGACCTCTCTTAAAGGAGAGTTGGCGGAGGCGGCTGAGGAGCGCCTTCGTAGCGAGGTCATTCTTGGTGGCCGGGAGGACGAGATTGACACCTTGAGGGCGGAGCTTGCGGAGCTGGCAGCGGGGAAGGCGGCCGTGGAAGGGAGGCTTGCGGAGGTCGAGCGCTCCGTTGTGATGGAGCACAAGAGGGGCTTCCAAAAGGCTGCTCGTCAGGCACGACTCCTTGCTCCCGGGTTCGACTTTTCCTCCATGCATGTGGAGAAGGTTGTCCGCTTTGGGAGGCTGGTTAAGGAGGATGATGTCGATGACAGTTCTAGTGAGAATGCCTCAGCCTAGGCC